GAGAAACCCGCTTTCGCCAAGCCTCGCCGCGTCCAGCCGGCGCGGGAGGGGAGGAAAGGTGCGTGCGGGGACCTCGGGTCCGTGGAGCCCGAGGGCCGGCCCGCTCTGACCGCCGGAGCGGCGAGGGTGCGCGTCCAAGGGGAGGAGAGCCACGTGCCAACGTTTTCATCCGCAGGGTCCTGCCGGGTTTAACCCAACGCGACTGCTTCCCTAGGAGATCAAGAGAATTTAGAAAATCTGAAGCAATTAAGTCAGCAGAAACCTATTGAAACTTTATACAGCCCGAATCATGACCAGCCAATACACTGGTTTATACAAAGCAACGAGGATAGTGGCCTAATAGAGGGATCATTTCGTAAACGATGCAGGTGTCTAGCCACTGAGCCGTACACCTGACACCAATATATTGTCAACTATAATGGGGGGGGGGGCGGAGGAATTTAATGATGAAAAACAATGAGAAACGATTTTACCAGTCAAAGGAAACAGGTGTCCATATAAAGGTGTCTTTTCATTTCAGGAAGAAGAAACCTTATGGTCAGATGACACTCGGTTTAAGTTGTATCCGTTTGAGAAAAGTGAGCTATTGCCTAATTAGATGAGCAGTTGCTAGAAATAGAGCGATATATTTCGTGAAAATGGGGCGATGTTTTCTCATCACTTTGGCCATTATCAAGTCCTATTATGCTTCTTTACTGCTTTTGGTTTTTAATCTTATTTATTGTGAGGTAATCATACGTGGGTAGAATGTGTAAAACATATACGCAGTTGAACGAATCATTGTCGAGTGGGCTGGGTGGCCACTGCCCGGCTGAGCGAGCCGAGGACAGACCGTCTTCCCTGGGAAACGCCAGCACGCACCCTCACTCAGTCCCCTAGAGGTAAACACTGTTCTTTTATGAGAATCTTTTTCTTGCTTTTCTGGATGTTATTGTCACTCAAAGTAGTGGCAGTAACGGCGCAATTTATTTTTGCTTGTTTATAAACTTTTCACAAGTGGAATAACAGTACGAATCTTGTTACTTGTTTCATTTGCTGAACATAACCCAAGTCCAGGAGGAGTTTCCAGGTTGAGTTGTTTCCAGGTTGTACCTATATCGGGTTCGATTGCAGCCAGGGGCACATGCCTCAGTTGCAGGCTTAATCCCCAGCCCCCATCGGGCCACGTGCCAGAGGCAACCAATTGATGTACATCGTTTCACTTTCTCTCTCTCTATTCCACTCTTCTCTGAAAAGCAATGGAAAAAAACATCCTCCGGTGAGGATTAAAAAAAAAAAAAGTTACATAGGTTTGCCTTTCATAGTTAGGCCTGTTATTGCATCCAGAATTGATTTTAGTTAATGGCATAATATAGGGTCAAATTTCACTTTTTCCATGTATTTACAGCCAACTATCCCACCATCCTTTTGCCATTGATCATCCATGCCCCCTCTCATGTCAATGAGCATGTTCGTGCAGGTCAGTTCCTAGGCCAGGGTCTCTCCCCAGTTAGAAGGAATTATCTCCATTTTGCAGATGAAACCAATCTCAGAAAGGTTAAATAACTTACCCAAAGTAACAGAACTATTCAGTTACAGAGCCAGAATTTGAACTAGTATAGAAGTAGCCTCCATTTTCATAATCTCAAAATATATCTCAGGTTTTTAGTGTCTAAAGGAGTCTAAAACTCATGACAAATCCAACCCCTTTTACTATCTTGCCATTAAAGTTGAAATACAACTGACTTGTTCATTTTTCTCCTCTCCAAATGATGGATAAAAAGGGAGGAATTCTAAGTGCATTTGTATTCTAAGTGCATTTAAAAAAGCAAATAAAATTAAGTATATATTTATTTTATAGAGCAGTAAGAACAAAGGAAAAGACCTTTATTTCCTAGATTGCTTCCCCCCTTGGGACTTTATACGTAACAAGCAGAATAGCAATTTTATTCAGCAACAAACCAGCTTTATTTAAAGCAAAAAACATGTCTCTCTTTAAAAGCATACTCTTAAAAGAAACATTTACTGAATTATTCTAGCCCTGTTGTGTTGAACAGAATTGGAATTCAGTGTGTTATGTTTAACTACACTTAATAGGGTTAAGTAGAATATTAATCTGTCCTGAGTCATTGATCTACTAAAGTTAAGAATCTAGGTTTTTCCCAGCTGGCCCGGCTCAGCAGTTGAGCATGGACTAGGATCCAGGAGATCGAGGTTCGATTCCCAGTCAGGGCACATGCCTGGGTTTTGGGCTCGATCTCCAGCAGGGGGCGTGCAAGAGGCAGCTGATCAGTGATGCTCTCATCATTGATGCCTCTCTCTCTCTTTCTCCCTCTCCCTTCCTCTTTCTGACATCAATAAAGACATATTTTAAAAAATTTTTTTAAAATCTAGGTTTTTAAGCTTTCAAATATTATGTAACAAAAATACTATTTTTAAATGCTCATCACATACTAAAGTATACGGATGGAATTAAACATCTAGAATTTGCCTTACATCTCAGCTAGAAAAAGAGGAATTATTTATTTTCTGAAAACAATTGCAGCAAAATCTTCTATTGAATATGGGTGATGGGTGTATAGGAGTTCATTACACTATTTTTGTGTATGTTTGAAAAGTTTTATAATTTTTAAAACTATTTTTCATTGATTTTTAGAGAGGGAGAGGAAGAGAAACATCAATCTGCTGCCTCCTGCATAACCCCTACTGGGGATCGAGCCCACAACCTGGGCTTAGGCCCTGACAGGGAATCAAACTGGTGACCTTCTGGTGCATGGGACGACACTCAACCAATTGAGCCACAAGGCCAGGGCTACAAGCAGTCTTTTTAATCAGCAGAGCTAGCCCCTGAATCCAGGTAGACCAGCTTGTCATATCATTCCACATGGCTTCCAGTCATAGGACCAACTGGCCCAAAATATGATTTGCTTACAATGACAACTGTAACGCTTCAGAACATTTGTTCTGAATTACTAATCAAAACACCTGGATTCTAGCAATGAATTACCCAGGGCTGCATGCTAATACAGAGAGTCTATGCTAGGTACTCTGTAGGATTTAATCCAATTAAGAGAATATCTATGAAAATTATTGGCAAATTTTAAAGCACGCTACCTATTACTACTGCTGATAAAAAAAAAAATAGCAGTAACTGGTATAAAGCTATGTAAAGCATTATTAAAGTATAAAAATGAAAATAATTCTTTTGTCAGGGAAAAAACCAGACAAGCCTTTTTGGAGAAGGTGATATATTAAAGTCTTTCAGACTGGGTAGAGTTGCATAAGTGATAATGGAGAAAAAGACAAATCTAGAGAGAAAACAGATAGGAAAAGGAAAAGATGTACAGGGAACAGCAAAAATAGTTTAGTATAGTTACAACAAATATATGAAGAAGTATTAGAGAATGACTTCTAGTACAAACCATGGGTTCCAGCCTATTAGTGGGACATGAAAGCAATTTTAATAGCTTGCAACCAGCTGTTTTTAGTGGAAGAGAGTGGGAAATATTAGGGTGTATCACATATTAAAAGGATAAGTATTTTGTTAAAAGTATTGTTTCAGATGCACACACACATATATCTATGCCGAGTCATAATATAAAATGTATTTCTTGTTGTGGGTGGTGGTAATTTTTGTTTTTGTTTTTTAAACACCAGGCTAGATCATCATATACCAAACTGCCAGTGAGGTTAAAAGAAATTTTCTAAAATCTGCAGTGTTTGAAATTCTCACTAAAATCATGTACTGCTCTGTAATTAGAAGGGGAAAAAATATTTAAAGAAAGAAAAATACACAAAGACTTTTAAGCTCAGGTAACTGTGAGGTAGATGGTGTTGTTAACCAAAATAGGGATCACAGAAAGAAGGCATTAGATCAGCAATTTTCAATCTTTTCATCTCATGGCACACAAACTATTAAATTTCTGCGGCACACCCAATCCAACAAAAAATACAGGTATAATTTTGATTCATTCCCACCACATGACTATTGTGTTGGCTGTTGTCATTTTTTTTATTTGACAATCTAAGGTACTGTATGTTTTGAAAATGCTTGCAGCACACCAGGTTGAAAATCGCTACATTAGATGAAGATGGGAATTTATATTTTATGTGTACTGTGTCTGAAATGCTCATAGAAGATTCTGAAAGCATGAGCTAGAAAACAGAACCAAAACTTAAAAGACAGACAGATAGGGTGGGGTAAACAGATAGATAGACAGACAGATTTGGTAAACAGCCACATGGGTGATAGTTAAAACCCTGACTGTCCAAAGAGAGAGAAGAGGACCAGACTGAACACAGACTCCGGGGGCAGACCTGCCCTGCGAGAGGGAGATGAAGAAAAGAGAGGAATCGGAGGCAGCAAGAGGGAGATGTCCGGAGGCAGGAACTCAGCTGATTCAGGAATGAGGCCACTGGAATGGCTACACTGTCCTCAGATCTTGGCTTTAGACTAACCGTGCTTTTGATCTGGAACTGAACAAAGTGAGTGCTCAGTAACATTGATTGGTGGCCACTGCTGTCTTAGACCTTGGCATGAATATCATACTTACACTGCACTATTAGCTCTTTTGAGTGCCCAGTTTGGGTTTAATGTCCAGCTCATACCAAGCCTCCAACTCACAGCACCTTATACATAGACAATGAGTACGAACTTATTCAAATAACTAAGTGACTAGAATCTTGTAACCAAGACAGATTCACAAATGACAGAAAATACAGAACTCCTCTGCAGGTTCTTCTCCCAAAGGGCTTTACTTCATGGGCCATACAAACCTGTAAAGAAGCAACCACTGACTAAACCAAAAAATTTTTCTTATCCATCTCACTCCCAGGAACTGAAATTATCTTAGAGTCCTTCCTATTATGTAATGTCAACACTCCTTGGTTTTATCTTTAGAGCATTATTTCACTTGTCACTACTGGGAAAAAACGCTGGACAACCCTGAACTTAATTATTATTCAGTATTAATAATTGATACAGTAAGATCTAACAGTAGAAAACAATTTATTTAATAAAAACTTTCAGTAATAATTTTTTAAAAACACATGAGGTAGAAGCAACTGAGAGAAATTAGAACTTTCCCCCCAGAAGATGGATACACTAAGGTGAAAACTGGCCACCATATACATAATTAAGTACTTTGAGGTAATTTTGTTTTACAAAACATCTTTATACACAGAGGGAAAATCGAGTAATGCCCCAAAATAGAGGCATATGAACATAAATAGGTGAAAACAGGGATATACATTTTTAATTTGTCATCAGTTCAGCAAACAAAATCTCTTTTCTAAAGAAGAACACGAATTATTTTCTTTTATATCAAAATCTACTCTAGAATACTGAATACTAAAAATAAATGGAACAGTAAGAGAGAATCAGAAATTAATTTAAAATAATCAATTTAAAAGACTAAGTTTCAAGTGAAAACATATCTGACATCAGAAAGCAAACGTCAGGGTAAAAACAGCAAAATGGCCTTTGGATCAGGGACCTCAAAATGTAGAAAACACAAACATCTATGTCCTCATCACCACAAGACTGTGCTTAAATTATAAAAACAAATCAAATTTCTTTACCTGTATTTCAAATAAACAAAATATGGTAATAATCTACAAAATCAAATTAATCCTGAAATTTTACACCCAGATCCCAAAAATATACATCTCTAAAGCAGGTAAACATTTAGCATATTCTTTGTAGGTCACACAAAAATACATATATAGTACTATAAATTTAGGCTTTTCAGTTTTGGGTACACCTGTACTGAAAAAATACTGTTAAGTTGTGTATGATGATAGATCTTTATGTTTAACAAGATTATACCAAAAGTAAAAGTAAAAAAATAACAACTGGAACTCTGAAAGGGAGTACATTTACATCATTTCATACCCTTGGGATAAAAGTTATCTCCTCAACCTAACCAGGCACTGATTTTACAGCATGTCCAAATTACTAATAATAGGCAATTGTTAGGAGATCACTATGCTAGTATGAAAAAAACTAGGAAAACAGTGCTTCACCTTCTTTGAAAATCACCCAGTACATGACAAAGGCTTTCATGTTCTCCTGATGGAAGATCAATGATGTAAAATAAATTAAGGAAGATATATTTAACACACTATGGAATCACATAAAAAGATTTATGCCAGCCCAGCTGGCATGGCTCAGCGGTTGAACATCAACCTACAATCCAGGAGATCATCCAGGACATCACAGTTTGATTCCCAGTCAGGACACATGCCCAGGTTTCGGGCTGGATTCCCCAGTAGGGGGCGTGCAGGAGGCAGCTGATCAATGACTCATCGCTGATGTTTCTCTCTCTCTCCCCCTCCTTCCTCTTGCTGAGATCAATAAAGGCATATCTTTTTTTTTAAATTATGACACTATTATTTAATATTTTGTAATTTGGTTTACAGAACTGTTAAAAAATTACAAAGATTTTTATGGCATTGTATGAATAATATTATACTTAAGCAATAAGGTTTATGTATCTTAGCCTAACACCTTCATATAATTTTTTTAAATGATCTGTTTTTGCCCTGGCTGGGTGGCTCAGTTGATTGGATCATTTTCCTATACACCAAAAGGGTCAAGGGTTTGATTCCCAGTCAGGGCATGTTAAGGGAGGCAACCAATTTATGTTTCTCTCTCACATCAATGTTTTGTTTTTTTTAAAAAAATGGTCTGATTTTAAAATAAACTACAATATGACAAGGAATAATTATTTTTTTTCCTCCTCACCTGAGGATATGCTTTTTATGGATTTAAGAGAGGGAGGGAGGGAAGGAGGGAGGGTGGAAGAGAGAAACCATCAATGTGACAGACATCGATCTGCTACCTCCCGAAACGTGCCCTGACCGGGATTGAACCCCCAACCTGGGTATGACAGGGAATCGAACCCACCACCTTTCCATGTACCAGTTGATGCTCCAACCAACTGAGCCACACCAGCCAGGGCTCCATTTTTTAATATAATGCTTTGTTCTAAAATTTTTAAAGAAGATTACAAATTGGGGTGAGAGGAACCAGAAAAGATAACCAGTTTTCCTAGATGTGTCTAGAAATCATGCCCCTGTTCATCAGGCAACAGATCAAGTCCCTTTTCTTCCCCTTTCTCACTTCATCAACTATCCTTCCCCATCACCTTCATTATTTCACTTGTTGCTTAAAATTACTTCTGTGAATTGTTTTCTCTCTCCCCGTTGTAGAATCAGATCTTTGAAATATGCCCATGGACAACACAAGACACTGAGTTTTAATTTACACAAGTACATAAACTAAGTATTCAAAATAGCACAATCAAATGTGACCATATAGAAAACAAAAAGGATATTAATTTTTCTGAGTTTAGATGACAAAGTAGCTTCCCCAAAGGAGGATAGCGGTTTAGCGAGGACACACATCCCAGGAGAATCAGTTTATGTTTGGCTCTGGTTATAGCAACATTAAGACGTCTCCAATCTTTCAAGAGTTCACCAAGCTGAAAGAAATACAATTTTCAATTATTTGAGTTATCTTGAATTTGTTCTGGCAAGGAACACAATTTGTCTTCAACTATTTTATTACTTTTAATCCTAACCACTAGACCACTAGGGAAGGTTATTTTATTACTTTAAAAAACATATACTGGGCGGGGTAGGGGCTGAAGAGGCGGAAGATGATTTGACTTTGGGTAGTGGGCACGTAGTGCAATATAAAGATCTTGTACATAGATATCCACACCTGAAACCTACATGCTCCTATTAACCAATGTGACCACAATAAAATTTAATATAAATAAATAAATAAATAAATAAATAAATAAATAAAAACATATTGCAAAAAAGATTCAACATATTTAAAAAATCTAGACAGGTGGTAAAACTTGCCCACAACTGTCAACTTCAAATATTTTATCTTAGATGTGATATAATAGCCATAATTGAAAATTATTAAATACATATAATAAAAATGAGCCCGGCCGGGCGTGGCTCAGTGGTTGAGCGTTGACCTAGTATCCAGGTGATCTCGGTTTGATTCCTGGTCAGGGCATGTGACCCGGTTGCCGGCTCGATCCCCAGTCGGGGCGTGAGGGAGGCAGCCAATCGATGATTCTCTCATCATTGATGTTTCTATCTCTTTCTCTCCCTCTCCTTTCCTTTCCTCTCTCTGAAGTCATAAAGATATATTTTTTNGGCTCGATCCCCAGTCGGGGCGTGAGGGAGGCAGCCAATCGATGATTCTCTCATCATTGATGTTTCTATCTCTTTCTCTCCCTCTCCTTTCCTCTCTCTGAAGTCAGTAAAGATATATTTTTTAAAAAAATGAAAAAGTAGAGCTATCGCCACTCACTGTAGCATTGTTTGTAACAGTAATGAACATAGTAGAAGACTCAGGGGAGTGGTTAAATATACCTTGACACATATATATAATGGAAAACTACAACAATAAGGCCAGAATAAAATCTCTTTCTACCTACTGACATGAAAAATCTCTAAGCTATTTTATTAGGTGGAAAAGCAAAGTCCAGAATAGTATATATATTACCTTTTGTGTAAAAAGGAGGGAACTATGAATACTGATTCACATCTGCTTGTATATGCCTACGAAAATCTAGATGATTATCCATAAAACTAAAAATGTGATTATGTGTGAGGATAAGAACTGAGTAGAAGAGAAACAGAGTATAAGGGAGACTTTTTACTATGTACATTTTTAAAACCATATGGAATATCACATAATTAAGAAAAATTAATCACAAAGAGGTAAAAATACCAAAAAAAATACAAAAACTGGAATTATCTATTAATCTGAACGTATACCTAAGGAAGCCTTTATGTTTAAAATGCCCCAAATGCAACAGCCAAGAGGTGGAAGCAACCCAAATGTGTATTGATGGATACGTGGATAAACAAAATGTGATACATGTATGCAAAGGAATATTATTCAGCCTTTAAAAGGAAGGAAATTCTGCTGCATGCTACAACATGGATGAACCTTGAGAACATTATTCTAAGTGAAGTAAGCCACTTATAAAGGACAAATACTGTATGATTCAACTTATATAAGGTGCCTAGAGTAGTCCAATTCATAGAGACAGAAAGCAGAATGATGGCTGCCAGGGGCTGGAAGGAGAAGGAATTAGGGAGTTGTTATTCATGGGTATAGAGTTTCAGTGTGCAAAATGAGACAGTTCTGGACAACAATGTGAATATACTTAACACTACTGAACTATACACTTAAAAACAGTTAAGGTGGTAAATTTTATGTTCTGTGTTTTTACCACAATTTTTTTTAAAAAAGGGGAAAGAAGTATGTCCCAGACAAATCAATAGAAAATACAATTTACTCACAGTTCCATCTTGATTACTTCTAACAAAAGATACCAGAATGATACTTTTGTCTCTTCCTTGGTACTTGTCTACTGTATTAACTTCAACTGTCCCAACAGAAGACTGTGCCAATAAATCATTGATGATCTTTAACTGCTGCCTATATGGTGCAATGATACCAATATCAGAGGGATTACATCCAGCCTAAACAGAGAAGGACACAATTTAAAATTTTAAATATTGATTTTTGTTATTTAAGCTTTACTAAATGTATTAAATGTTCACTACATAATGTGCTCAACTGATGTTTATAATAGAGATTCCTACCACAAGGAGTAAATACAATTATTGAACTTGTTCTAAATCGACATTCACATTTCCTGAGATGAAATAATTTCCTCAAACATTGCTCCTTTGATTTTTAGAGGTTCGTGGCAGTAAAATGGTTTGCAGGCCACTAGAACAATGCTGCCATACCAAAAAAAGTATAAAGAAATACATTTCACTTTCTACCATCCCTTACACTGAAGTTTCCAGTCCCCAATCATACTGACTACAGCACTATAATTGACACAATCAGAATTATTTGATGTTACAAAAATTTATCCTAAAAGGAAATCCGTTATAAAAAATTATGTGTCTGAGGTAAATTTTCTCAAAATGAAACAATCAGGCTTCAGTCCTCTTATTTTAATAAACAAGGGCAAAATGCCACTACATCTTAAGTTCCTTGCATTTTAACATTCTATTACTTGGTGAATATTAATTTGCCCTCAAAATAAAATTCTAAATTACCTTAATAAAAGTTGAGGTCAGGAAAACTATGAGTTTGGCTTCTGTTATATTGCTCACACCACCCTTTTCAACTTGTTCTGGTGCTGGTACCTAAACAGAAAAATATGCATCCTGCTTATAAAAAATCTCTAAAGTTAAGAGCACACAGGTAGCTATAGAGACTGTAATGCCAGTTGTGGAGACAGTTGAAAAATTTCACCCTAAAAGCTGAAGGTAAAAGAATTAACAAAAATGAATGAGATTGTTCACTTTCAGAGAGCCACCGGCGGCAACCATCACGACCATGCCACAGTTGAGACTAAAAGTTCTATGAAAGCCGACCACACATTGGGTTTCACATGCTTTACTTTGTAATCCCCATTTTAAGGAATCAAAGGCGAGAAAAGTAAGTAACTTCATCAAGGTGTCACATAAATCATGGCACTAGGAATCAAAACTTAGATCTGGCTCTATCTGTGCTCTTTGCATTTTCTTGTTGCCTTTTATAAAAATAATGGATGAGATCAAGTTCTCCAGGTTCTACAATACCTGGTAAAACTCTCCAAGGACTATTTTGCTCCTACATATCCCTAACTAACCTTGATGATGATGATGATGATGGTGATTTTACTTTAGAGAGGGAAGAAGAGAGAGAAAGAAACACTGATGTGAGAGACCAACCAGGGATTGAACCCCCATTGCCCTGATGGGACTCAAACCTGCAACCTTTCGGTGCAGAGAAGGTCGCTCCAACCAACTGAGCCACATGGGCCAGGGCTAACCTTGATTATTATTATTTTTTAATATATCTTTATTGATTTCAGAGAGGAAGGGAGAGGGAGAGAGATAGAAACATCAATGATGAGTCATTGATCGGCTGCCTCCTGCATGCCCCCTACTGGGGATTGAGCCCACATCCCGGGCATGTGCCCTGACCAGGACTCAAACTGAACCTCGATCTCCTGCATGATAGGTCGATGCTCAACCAGTGAGCCACGCTGGCCAGGCCTAACCTTGATTATTTTTAATACAACTTATTTGGAATCCTGATGCTAAGAAAGAGAAAACCTGAGTAGCAAAAATAAAGAACCTGAGTGATCATTGTTGAGGTAAATAATTGTAAATTATAACTAATAAATTAGAATTGTGGTTTATAAAAGCAATCATTTGTGAGATCAGCTTATCTAAATAAATTTCCCAGAATGTGCTTGCCCTTAGGTGTAATTCTTGAACCTGAAATGCTCAGGGCAATACCTAAGAGAATGGAAATTCCAACATGGTATGCACAGTGAGGCTTATTTTTAACAATCAGCTAACTCTACCCATCTTAATAACAAATGGCATATTTTAGAGTAACATGCATATGTATAATTGGCCACTATATTTTTATTTGAACTTGTGTAAAGACTTCCAAATCAATGCTGAGAAGCAATATATAAAACAAAATGTAGCCTGGCTGGCGTGGCTCAGCAGTTGAGCATCAACCTATGATCCAGGAGATAGAGGTTCAATTCCCGGTCAGGGCACTTGCCCAAGCTTGCAGGCTTGATCCCTGCAGAGGCAGCCGATCAATGACTCTCTCATCACTGATGTTTCTCTCTCTCCCCCTCTCCCTTCCTCTCTCTGAAATCAATAAAAATACATTTTAAAAAATAAATAAAATAAAACAAATTGTAGGAATATGGGGTCAAAACTTTGTTCTTAGTTCCTAGAAATGATAAATCATTTAAAGCCCTTGTGAAGATTTTTGTTTAATGCCAAGTTTATAAAGAGGTTTTTACGTGCATTTGTGGAGTCAGGAGGTACATGGGAAACCTCCTTACTTTCAGCTCAATTGTGCTGTGAACCTAAAACTACTCTAGAAAATAAAGTCTATTTTTTAAAAAGTCCTTAAAAGGACAAAAATTTATTGTATCTTCTGTCTATTTGTAAACCCAGCCCTTTGACAGTATTAATCCAGTTTATTTTCTAGGAAATGTAATTATACACCTGAGTTCACTTTCTAGCTTTCCCACTTTAAAAGTTTATGACACCTATTGATCCTCAGAAAAACCTCCCCCCAATGATACCTGATCTACAAAAAACTGTTTTGTGTGTGTTGCAAAAGTGTACAAGAACTATACTAGTTTCAACTGATGAGCTCTAGTGAAGCATTTGCTGCTGAAAACAGGAATTTAAATAATAGGAGAAAAACTAAAAAAAAAAAAAAAGATTGGTTTCTTACCTGGTCTGTATTAAGAAAACAAACAGGATTGTTTGGTTCAAATACTCCAATCAACCAAGGATTTTCAGAATAATCAGCATAAAATTCCAGCTCCAGCTTCACATCTTTAAAGTTAGGTAGGTTTATCACTGCGTTGGCCACTTTGTCCGACCCACATTCCAGCTTTCCTTCATATGTCAGTTTATTACTTAAGGACATAATTTTACTAAGGGAATTACAAAAATAATTTTAGTTTTGGCAGAAGAAAACAAACATGAAAATCACTCGTAGCTGACACTGTTACGAGTACCTATTCATTCTGTACTGAACAGTTAATTGTACGACAGCATTTTCATTCCGCTCCAGCCTCTTGAATAAGCTTTCACTCATGCCAAGAGCTCTGTCAACATAAATTCAGGGGTATCAGTATACTGTTAACTGTCCCTTAAAAAAGAATCTAGTTTAAAATTAAAACTTCAGTGTCTGCTTACCTTGCTTCACGGTTTAGCACCAGGGGAGGAAGCTGCTGATGATCCCCCACCAACACAAATCTCCGTGAAAAAAAAAGTGGCCCTAGACAAACAGGTTGGCTAATTTGAGAGGCTTCATCCACAATACAAAAATCAAAAACTTTACGGGAAAATATTGGATGGTTTATTCCCATACATGTTGTTGCAACTATAAGCTAAAAACAAAGAAAACGGATCAGTTATTTAATATGTCCAAGCAATGTAACTTCTTTTTTCTCATTTTTCAAATTAAGAGATAGAAAAAAGATTTTCGTCCCCAATAACTGGAATACCCCAATATTATTTAATTCTGAGACATAGCATAAAAAATATTTAATTTTTTACTACAAACTGAAAAAATCAAGTAAATTATCTAGGCATTATAATAATTCTCAAATTTAGACCAAAAACAGCTCCAACAAAAGCCAAAGAAACAGGAAAGGGAAAGCCTAGAAGACGGAAAACTTTTATACAATAACCACTCTACTCTAGCCAAACACCACAGAAAGAGCTGTGGCCTCACCTCCCACCAATGCCAGCAGAGGCTGAATGGGGATGCTAGACTTCAACTGTCCCAAGGTTATATGATAAGGTCCCCCATTCTTGATATGAACAAATTGCAGAAATGGAGAACCGGTAAATGATTATCAGGAGTTAAGGATGGGTGGGGTCGGAAAGAAATTGGAATAGTTATAAAAGTGCACCATGAGTGATTCGTGGTAATGGAACTAACTATTCTGTATCAATGTCAATATCCTGGTTGTGATAGTTTACTACAGTTTCACAAAATGCTACCATTGGGCAAAGGATATACACGAATATACATCTCTGTATTATTTCTTACAGCTTCATGTGACTCTATAATTATCTCAAAATAAAAAGTTTAATTTTGCCCAGCTGGCCCGGTTCAGTGGTTGAGCATGAACTGATGATCCAGGAGAGCGAGGTTCGATTCCTGGTCAGGGCACATGCCCAGGTTTCGGGCTTGATCCCCAGTAGGGGGCATGCAGGAGGCAGCTGATCAATGACTCATCATTGGTGTTTCTCTCTCTCTCCCTCTCCCTCNATGTGTATAAGAGACAGCCAGTAGGGGGCATGCAGGAGGCAGCTGATCAATGACTCATCATTGGTGTTTCTCTCTCTCTCCCTCTCCCTCTCCCTTCTTCTCTGAAATCAATAAAGACAAATTTTTTTTTAAAGTTTAATTTTTAAAATAATTGGCATAAGTATTAGACAAAGGAGTTGAAGGAACATCCTATTAAATCTAATTTATTTTAGATGATTTTTAAATTAAATTAAATTATTTTATAATGTTTCTTTTTTTAAAATATGTTTTTATTGATTTTAGAGAGAAAGGAAGGGAGAGGGAGAAAGAGAGAAACATCTATGTGAGAAATATCAATCAGTGGCTCCTGCACACCTGCTACTGGTGATCAAGCATGCAACCCAGGCATGTGCCCTGACCAGGAATCGAATCGGCGGCCTTTTTGTGGGACAATGCTCAACCAACTAAGCCACACCGGCTAGAGCTAGATGATTTTTTTAAAAGACAAAAATACCAGTTAAGACTTCCCAGTAAAAATATATAGACATTAAATAATAAAATGTTAGGTTCTATATCAAAATCTAAAAAAACCCATCACTAGACTGTTCATGTGCCATTACTTATAATTCAAACTCACTAAAAAAATCCTGATTAATAGTTTTCTAGGTGTGATTGTGTGAAATAATGCGTCCTGGTTCTTGGCCCAGAGCTCCTAAAGCTCCCTGGAATTTTCTGAATGGTAGGGGATGAGAGAGATATGTTTTGTTATTCATAATAAGCCCCATTCAACCAAACCAGAATTTATTGCAATGAGGTCTGACACAGGATTGGAGCTGGGTGCCAGAGGGTTAGAACTTTCATCCATCCCTCCACCTCCAGGAAGGGAAGACGGACTGGGGATTGAGCTAATCGCTAATGGCCAGTGATTAATCATGCTTACATATGGAATCTGCATTAAAAACCCCAAAAGGGTTTGATGAACACATCATGGTGCTGGGAGGTGGTTCACCGAAAGAGGGCATAGAAGTTCCATGCGCCATTCCACATACCTTACCCTACCCATCTCTTCTATTTGGCTGTTCCTGAATTGTATCCTATATAATATATTCAGTAATAATAAGTAAAGCATTTTCTTGAGTTTTATGAGCCATTCTAGCAAATTATCAAACCCAAGCAGGGGGTCAAGGGAGCCCCAATTTATAGCTAGTTGTTCAAAAGCACAAGAGGCCCTGACTTGCAATTTAGGACTGAAGTAGGGGGCAGTGTTGTGGGACTAAGCCCTTAACCTGTGGGGTCTACACTAACTCCAAGTAGTTAGTGTCAGAAGTGTTGTGAGGGAAACAGAGTTATCCATTACTAGGATATTTTAAACTAGCAGATGGGATCCCTGAATAATAAACCAAAAACCTCATTTCAGTTCAGAAGTAAACAGCATACTATAAATTAGTAAGTTGGTCCTGTGGTTTACATGAATTAATCATGTGCAAATTTGGTCAATGTGACTGAATTTCCCAGCATGCTGTCTCTCCCCTCATTCTGACTACAGAAATTAGTATCAGCATTCTTATACCACACTGTACTTACTTGACTATTGTAGAGTTCTTCTAGAAGGGCTAAGGATTTAATGGACTTTGATCTGCAAATTTCCTCCTCTGTAAATTTCTGGATGCCTGGATGTACCTTCTCAGTCTGACCCAAGCGCAAAAATCCTATTTTAAACTTCGCTAACTTCAAAAGAATATTGTCAACAGCAGAGTGTGTATAACTGGTCAACAAAACACTAAAGCCACAGGCATACAGAATTCTTACCTAATAATGAAGAAGAGAAAGGAAAACAGCATTATTTTTAATTCTAGATAATTTTTAACATGCTTATATTTTTCTAATAAAATTAGAAAACTTAATAGGAAGCACATCCAAGAGTTGAACCAAGTAACTTTTTTAAAATTATAAGGCCAAAATGTTTTATGAAAGTAATATGGAAAGTAATAAAACTGAATACATATGAACTCTGAATAGTGCCTGGTACACAGTATCAATCAATAAGTATTTGCTACCATCATTATAATTAATCAATAAATTACTACTCAAAAATCTACCAATATGGAAAAAAAAATCTATTTCAATCACCTCCATATAACTTATCATTTTTTAAAAGGAAGGAAAACATACAATGATATATATACCACCAACATAAAGAGACCTTAGGCAATCCTAAACGCAAGAAAACTACAACAGGATTATAACTATTGGTGATTTAGCTTTTCTATTTCTCATGTCATGCTAAAAAGGTAATTTGAAATAAAGGCATTTTGAGTTAATATTCAGCCCTTTTGATATCAAACATCACATTCTCTGAACAAAGAAGCAGCTGATTTACATATTTCGTTTCTAAGCAAAAGAATAATAACCTTACAAGAGTACATATTGTAGTGGTCTTTCCTGTTCCAGGCATGCCCACGATGAGTGTGTAGTCTTTGGAAAGAAGTACCTTTTTCATTGCTTGCCTCTGGGGCTTATTCAAACCTACATTTAAATTTTAAAATAACAGAAAAAAGTATGTTGAATTTCTTTTTTAGTGAGATTTTTTTTTTTTTAATTTAAATTTGTGTTGTTTTCAGAGAGAGGAAGGGAGAGAGAGAAACATCAATGATAAGAGTCATTGATCGGCTGCCTCCTGCACGCCCCCTGCTGGGGATCAAGCCCACAACCCGGGCATGTGCCCTGACCAGGAATCGAACCTCAATCTCCTGGATCCTAGGTCAATGCTCAACTGCTAAGCCACGCTGGCTGGGCTGTGTTGAATTTCAATGAGCAAATTAACTATTTTATAAGAAAAGCAGCCTCTATTCAAGTTTCTTCAATACATCCTTACAAAGTTAGAAAATATGGTGATGTTAAAAAATATATGTAAACTACTTCCAAAGAGACTTTGTCTAATAACTACAAATGCATATAAATTATTAAAACACTAGACTATAAAGTAGATTAAATTATAAATAGAACCAAAAAAATGAATGGAACCAGACACGCTAATTATAGCATACCTTTTAGAATAGAGGCAACTGTATCCTTTGCATAATGTGGAAGAACAGAACTGAGGTAGGATATAAACTGGGGTTCACGGAAGTCAATGATTATATCTCGAAGTTTTTGGCTAAAAAGAAAAAATGCTTTTAGTAATATTTCTTAGGAAAATGGGGTGAAATTCAGATTCATTCACTGTTACAAACCTGGCATCAGTATTTTTCATCAATTTGGAAAGATTTCTTAATGGGGTATCTATATCACAATTTTTTTCTTCCTGGTCCACTCTGAACAAAGTTGATTCCGGGAGTACTGACAAGTTCCTAAAACAGCAAAACAGAAGTACATGAATGTTTTTCACTTAACATAATCGGTTGCTCTGTGTAAGAAATACATTGCTGTCTGCTAAAGTAAATGGGCCAGAATAGCTATTAAAATGGCTACCAGCCCGTAATTCGTACCTGGCAATCAAAGACAGAATGAGGCCCTGGATTGGTGGAAAAAGGGAGAAGGGAAGGGCAAAAAGCACCAATGTCAAAACAGCTAATAATCAGGAACCTTTGACATTTGCTGACAATTCACTTGGCCTTGCAATCTAATCTGGGCTCACCATGTCCAGAAGGAACTAAACACACGGTTCTCCCTCCACCTGCCTGGAGTACAAGACTCTTTCCTGATATCTTCTTTCATCCTCCAGCAGCCCCTAAAACCCTGGTGTCCGCTATGGTCCCCTCCCTGGTCCTCTCTACTGTTTTTTCTTGTCATTTTCCCTTAGGTCCCACACCATCACATGACTGTAAATCCCAAGTCTACATCTTCACGCCTGACCTCACATTCCTCCCCAGCTGGTTCCTCACGCACGCTTCAGGTTTGGATATCCAGCAGGCAGTAAGGCTTGGTTAAAACCTGGGCTATGAAAGCTCAATATATTAAAAATTAAACAACTTGTCCTGGCTGGTATGCCTCAGTTGGTTGAAGCTTCATCCCCAGCACCAAAAGGGTGCCAGTTCGACTCCCAGTCAGGGGACATACCTAGGTTTCAGGTTCAATCTCTGTTTGGGGCATGTACAGAAGGCAACCAATTAATGTTTCTCTCTCACATTGATGTTTCTCTCCCTCACCCTCTCCATTCCGCTCTCTCTAAAATAGGTAAAACATATCCTCAGGTAAGGATTAAAAAACTGAACAACTCTTCGTCCTGTTGAATTGGATCCTCCCTCTCTGGTCCTGACTTCAGTTAATAGCACTTGCATCTATACTGTTACCTTGATCCCTCCCTCTTGTCTCACAGTCTTCTCAACCTGCATATCCAATCAGCATCCAAATTCCAGCAAATCTTTCTAAAACTTCTCCAAGTCACTCCATCCTGTCTGCCAAACCTACCCTGCCCTCATTCACCTCTAGCCTGGGCCGCTACAACAGTTTCCTGGTTTCTCTGCTTTCAGTTTTGCCTCCATCGATTAACTCCATTCTCCACAGTGCATCCACAGAAAAAAGCAAATCTGATTATCATTCCCCTGTTTAAAACTGTTCAATACATCTGATTAAAGTCAAAACTTAACATGGTATATAAGACTTTCTATAACCTGGCCTCTCCAATCATTCCCTTATCTTCTACAATCCAGAAAGTTACCTGCACTTTCCTGAATGTTCTGCATCACACTGTATCACACCATCATGCCTTTACGTGCCAGGTTCCCTCTGTCTGGGATATCTGCTCACACTGCTTCACCAGGCTAACTTATTAATCCACACAATGAAGGTCCAGAATGGCCTCTTTCTTTTTTTGTTTTATTTTTTGAATTTATTGGGGTGATATTGGTTAATAAAATTATATAGGTTTTAGATGTACAATTCTATAATACATCATCTGTATATTGTATTATATATTTACCACCCCAAGTCAAGTCTCCTTCCATCACCATTTATCCCCCCTATGCTCTCTTCTAACACCCCGCACCCCTCTTCCACTCGGTTAGAGAATGAGCTCTTTCAAAAGGCCTTCCCTGAGTCTCCTAAAACTGGGTTAAATGCCTCTCTGTGGCATCCCCATCAATTTAAACACTTGTCATATTAACTGAAAATGTTTATATATTTGTCTACCCATGAGACTATAATTCCTTAAGGATTTGCAAAGCACCTAATACACGGCAGTCACTAAATAAATACTGCAAAGGACTGCACAGAATCCTAAAAAGCAATACAAATACTGTGGTTCATACTCCCATATCATGAAACTGAGACCAGGGTTGGTTATGGCTTAACTGGGATGACTGATTGGCAGAGAACAAGCTTAGACATTTCCATCGCAGTTACCCTGAAGTCACTGCATCCCAGTCACTGATCTCCATCCATTAAGGGGAAGAAAAAAAAAGGCAAGGAAGGCTGGGAGTACAGGAAGGGGGAATATGGATATTGATGAACATGGATATTAGACTCTACCAATTTTACAGCAACTATTCTACTATTTACTTAATATTTTTCTTTAAATCAGTCTGCTTTGTCTTAACTAAGATAAATACACTTTATATCACAATTATAAATGGGGGGGGAAGTTTTTAAAAAGGGAGAGAACAAAATGGTGAGTGCCCATTTGTATATAAAAATATATAGAACTAAGCTATATATTTAACACAGGCTATCCATCCTGTCCACCGTACATGTTGTTGTGAGAATTACATAAGACTATGTCCACATTAGGATTATGGGACGTGATGTACTAAACAAAAGTTCAGCAGTTTGCAAGATCCTCAACATATCAAACACGAAATCAGCACATGACCCAGCAATTCCACTGTGGTGTATTTACAAAGGGAAATAAAGTACGTCACATAAAAATTTGTGCCCAGCCGGGCATGGCTCAGCGGTTGAGCATCGACCTAGAATCCAGGTGATCAGGGTTCAATTCCCAGTCAGGGCACATGCCCGGGTTGCGGGCTCGATCCCCAGTCGGGGACGTGTAGGAGGCAGCCAATCAATGACTCTTATCATTGATGTTTCTATCTCTCTCTCCCTCTCCCTTTCTCTCTCTGAAATCAATAAAGATATATTAAAAAGAAAAAAAATTTATAAGTGAATATTTATAGCAACACTAGCCTTAACACCCAAAAAGAGAAAACAACTCAAATGTCCATCAACTGGTGAATAAATGAACCAAATGTGGTCTGTCTATACAACAGAATATTATTCAGCCATAAAAAAAAAGAAAAAGAAATGAGGTACTGACAAATGCTGAAACATGAACCTCAAAACGTGTTAAGTAAAAGAAGTCAGACAAAAAAAATCACATATTCTATGATCCTTTTTATAGAAATATCCAGAAGAGGTATATCCATAGAGACAGAAAGCAGCTTAGTTGTTGCCAGGGGCTGGAGGGAGGGAGAGTAGGAAGTGATTGCTTAATGGGTATATTTCCCTTCAGGGTTATGAACATTTCTGGGAACTAGATAGAGGTGATGGCTGTACAATACTGTAAATGTGCCAAATGCCACTGAACTGTGCATTTTAAAATAATTAATGGTCAATTTTATGTTATGTGAATTTTACCTCAATTTTTTTTAAAAAAAGAAATGAAGCACTGATACATACTGCTACATGAAGATGAATCTTAAAAACAACAGGCTCAAACAAACAAATGAACAAACAAAAACAGTAGGCTAAGTGAAAAACAACAGTCACAAAAGACCACATATTGTATGCTCCATTATATAAAATGCTCAGAACAGGTAAATCTACAGAGACAAAAGAAAACTGGTGGTTGTGGCTGTCTAGGGCTGGAGGAGTGACTGCTAAAGGGCACAGGGTTTCTTTCTTGGATTATGAAATGTTCTAAAATTGATTTTGGTGATGGGCCTAACTCTGTGAATATACGAAAAACCACTGAATTGTATACCTTAAATGGATGAACTGTATGGTATGTGAATTATAACTCAATAAAGCTGTTATCCCTCCCCACAAAAGGGAGCATTTCATTACCTGTCTAATAAACAGGTCACTGTTGTCATGTTAATCTCCTTCACATACCCCCTAGACAAAGCAAATAGTGTTCTCTCTTCACCACTTAAAATGATTCTGTCGCCTGCCATTAGATTTGTGATAGGCATGGCACCATTTTTACGCTGGAAATTATGTAAATATTGTCCATCACAAACTGTCTTCACATGTTCTGTTCTAATCAGGTTTCCAATGCAGTTGCCACTCTGCTCCCTATGAAAAAAAAAGAGAAAAAGCTTCCATTTACATCACATATATAAATACTGTATTTGCCGTTTTCCACAATTTCCTTGTTTGTCTGACTCCTGGAAACTCTAATGCTAATATTGAGTCTGTCATTTTTACATATTCCACAATCCACACTAAAATTTTTAAAATGCTAAAGAAACATTCTCTCTATTAGCTTGAAAATAATCTCTCACCAATAGGCTTCTAGACAAGTGCAAGGGAGCACCTCCCTTACTGCACCCACTGGCTGGGATCTCTGAGCAACCTGTTTGTCAGCATTTTGATCCTGGAAGGACACCCCCAACTCCTATGCATAACATAACATTACAAAAGACAAACAGTAATAACCTGCTCTAAAATCCTATTTCTTCAGTGTTTACAGGAAGATTTATAATTACAGTAATTAATAGCAACTGCCTAGCCGGTGTGACTCAGTTGGCTGAGTGTCATCCCATGCACCAAGGGGTCACAGGTTCGATTCCTGGTGAGGGCACATGCCCAGGTTTCGGGCTCAATCCCCAGTTGGTGGCACGCAGGAGGCAGCCAATTGATGTCTCTCTCTCATCAATGTTTCTCTCTCTCTCTCTCTCCCCCGCTTCCTCTCTCTCTAAAATCAATCAAATCATTTTTTTAAATAAATAAAATAATAAGAAACAAATTGATAACTCCACTGCTTCTAAGAAATAAGCATTAAGCAATTACAATCTTTAGGCACTACTATTTAACACATACAACTTCAGAAGCTTGTTGGCATGTACACTGGACATATTCACTGTACTTATGTAGTCCGTGGGTAACTACTCAAACATTCTCCACTGTAATGTTTCCTGTGTTCAAGTCTAGTATTAAGAAAATAATGATCCAATTATTTCTAACGTCACATTATTATCAATATTCATTCTGGAAAGAAACAAATGGATGAAAAGCAACTATATATTACATAAAGAAAAATATGATGCAAAGATATACAAAACTGAAACTTTACAAGTAACTTGTAAAGAAAATAGATAACATATAATAGAAAATTGACCAACTATAGAAAATTTAAGTCTGTATGAAATAAATTATTTAAATTTATTTAAATAGGTTTAAATTTTTTAAAAACATTAGTAATTATATACCATATTAAGCATGCTTCATGAAAGGAGTACGTGAACTTTTTTATTCTCATATGTCTACAAGCTAATAACATAGTAGGTTTCCTCTAAATACAGGGTGGGGCAAAAGAAGGTTTATAGTTGTGAGTACTCGAAACACAAGAGTTTGTTTCTGTATTACTATTTATTGTATTATTTTCCATAATGAACAACTGTAAACCTACTTTTGGTCCACTCTGTATTTTGTAATAAATAAATGAAGATTATAAAACAAAACAGAACAAAAATACTAAACCTATAAACTTTCTAAATACTAATATTTAAAGTATTAAGTAAAACTTCATTAATTTACACTCTACCAATATGCTAAAATTCACCTTGTGATATACTCAAATTTATACTTTTTTCACTAAGGAAAAAGGGTTCACTAATACTTTTAAAAATAAGATTTATTGAGGCATATTTATCCTACTGAAAATAGCTAACAATTGTGCTCTCCTTAGAAGCAATCCATTGATAGCCAGCCAGAGTTAGCATCAATATATGAAATTGCATGTCTTTAACATGCTGCATAACCTGTATTTGTCATGAATTCTAAATGACATCCCACTAGCTAATCCAAGTTATTGAAGTTTTATTGTATTAAATGTACTACTTACATCTCTGAAGAAGGCATCAACCATATATTTTGGTAATTCTTCTTATTATCCTTTGATTGTGACTCCAAAGTTAACATTAGACACCAAAGGCTGAAATACTCTAAGTGTGCAAGCTTAAGGTGCTGGGTTTCCTCTTTTATTTTGGGCAGCATGCCAACCGGGACTGAACTGTCATCCATCTGTTGTTCGACAGCTCTAAAGATAAAGCTCCAAGTCAGAGATGTGTATAAAACATTTCATTGGCTGGCTATGAAATGAGGTATTTCTAAAAATAAGTACACAGATATAATGATCATCATAACTTATAACCACATCCTCTAATTTTCTTTAAAAGTCATTTCAATATTTTACAAGCCAAATAGCTTTTTATAAAACAAAATCTTTAAGAAACTCAATGCTGCATTATTTTGCCTTCAGTGACTGTTGCCCTAACAACTACTTAAATTTCGTATACTCTAGTCTTCGTTCCTACGGGCAGCAAATTTTGGCTTTTTGTACAACTACAGTTCTCAAAATCACAATATTCATACAGCCAGCTCTGTGCTATAAGAAAGTCAACATAAAAACTAGGAGAATCATCTAGAATATCAATTTTGCTTAATGCTAATTTTTAAATTTTTATATAGAAACAAATCTCTCATAGGAGAGCCTACAAAACGTTGAGAATAAAACATAAGATTTCAAACCAATGTGCTTAGCCCGGCCAGGGTGGCTCAGTTGATTGAGCGTTGACCTGTGCACCCAAAGGTTGCTGGTTTGATCCCCAGTCAGGGCACATACCTGGGTTTTGGTTTTGATCTCCAGTCAGGGAACATATGGAAGGCAACCAATATCAATGCTTCTCTCTCACATCGATGATTCTCTCTCTCCCTCTCTCTAAGCAGGTCCTCAGATGAAGATTTAAAAAAACAAAAAACAATGTGCTTATACTATAGGCCCAGACTTCCCATGGTTCACAGTCCTCTGCATTAAGAGATCCTTTGATACAATAGCTGAAAAAGTTCTTCCTGTGAATTTTCAGGCTGAATTAAAAAAAATTTTGGTTCTGATTTGATAATGTTTCCTAGTCTGTATTTACATCTAACTACTTTTTTGTGTCCTTCAAAACTTTCAGTGGCCTAGGAAGGTATAAATACATATGACTGTTTATAAGACAGCTAAAAAACTTCCCACATGTAATAAAACATACATATATAAACAATTCAAGTCCATTGGATCATACCAAACTATGTGTCTGGAAGAAACAATTTCCCTGTTTTTAACTACAAAAGGCCTGAAACCAAAATAGCAACTAAAAGCAAAAGACTTCTTGAAATACCATTTAAGTTGTATTGTATTCAAAATGCCTATACTATATACTACATCTTTCTTAACCAAAGTTCAAAAACCGTTCTATCATTCCCTAAGGAAATAGGCTTATTATAAAATATGAACTGTGCTTTTTTTCCTAGTTCCTTCGTTTTAGAAACACACACAGAAAAGAATGGCTAAAATAAAACCATCAATGCAGGACAGCCAGCAATGTTAAATCATTTTGAGTTGAGTGCATACTTAACCAAAATTTGTATTTTTGGAAGACAGTGTGTTTACCTGCTATAAAGAGCACAGTTGCCCACTTGTGAACAATATTTACAGGTTTGCTGTTCCTCAATTATTTGTGGCAAAGGAGCAAGCTCTGTCTTCTCCTTTCCAGTAGAAGACTTGCTAATACGGTGAAACAAAGAGAATGCCATCTGATTTCTTAGTTTTAATAATTCTATGGGGGAGAAAAGGGTGGATGTCTTTTAAGAAGTAAGTAAAGTTTATTATATATCTTTTCCATTGCATAAGTAAAACTTACAGATGTAAAAACATTAAAAAAAAGAAAAAAAAAGAACAATATTCGTATTTCCCACTACACTAGAATAACACTGTTAACATTTTGGTATTATTCCTCCAATATTTGTTCACTAGGTAAATTCTTTCAATAATCATGTGTCTCGTAACTAGTACATACTATGAAGTTGGTGCTTTATTAGCTAAATGCTAAGGGTAAATACAGCAAACTAGAGTATAGAATAAGAAGTTTAAATAAAGTTTTGGCCCGTCCATGTATGGCTCAGCAGTTGAGCATCAACCTAGGATCCAGGAGCTAGAGGTTCGATTCCCAGTCAAGGCACATGCCCGAGTTGCAGGCTCGATCCCCAGTGAGGGGGGTGCAGGAGGCAGCCAATCAATGACTCTCATCATTGATGTCACTCTCCCTCCTTCTCCCTTCCTCTCTCTGAAATCAACAAAGGTATATTTAAAAATAAATAAAATAAAGTTTTGTATTATAAAATTTTTAAAGGTTAATGTTTTCAATTATACTGCATATTGTTAAAATTCTTTTTAAAAAATACCACAACTACAAACTACAACCTGTATTAGGCCCTGCGAGTACAGTAAGCTACTGTCAGGTATAAATACAGGCACACCTGTTTCATTGCGCTTTGCCTTAGTGAATTTCACAGATGTTGTGTTTTTCACAAATTGAAGGTAAGACCCTCTGCCAGCAAAGATTATGACTCGCATGATGTCTAGCAGTTTTTAGTAATAAAGTATTTTAAAATGAAGGTATATACATTGTTTTCTTAGACATAATGCTATTGCACACTTAAAAGACTACAAGATCATGTAAACATAACATTTATGTGCACTAAAAATCAAAAAATTCATGTGACTTGCTTTACTGCAATATTCGGTTGGTTGCTATGGTCTGGAACCAAACCTGCAGTACCCACGAGGTATGCCTGTATGTATCACCAACAGTTAAACAGAAAAACAAACAAAACCCAGAGAAGTAAAATTGAGAGAAAATAGCTCAACCTCTTCTATCAAGATGTTTCGCAGGCACGGGGTACATCTGGCCAGTCTTAAGGTAGAGGAGCAGGCCAGCCTCCGGATCAGCTCTTCTCTCTTGACTTAGCAGTGTATACAGAACCAGCTGTGAAACAGTGTTCATTTTGTCAAATAAAACTTTAACTTTCTGCTTTCCCATACATGTTTGCAATTAACACACACTGCATTTTAAAATCAAAAGGTCCATTAAGCTATTTCTCTTTTGAAAATTACATGAGCCATATTAGTAAAGGTAACAAAATAAATTCAATATCAAATATTTAATTTCCACAAAACGTAGTTTATGCTTCTCAGTTTTACACAAACAAACAAAATATTTCAAATTTTTCTTAGTAAATATTTAGGTTTCCAATAAATTAAAGACAGAAATTAATCAAACTATGTTTTACATTTTGAAGTTAACAGTTTTTAGACACTATATTTCCTGCTTAAAATAAGTGAACTATGCCTTAGCTGGTTTGGCTCAGTGGTTACAGCGTCGGCCCAAGGACTGAAGGGTCCTGGGTTCGATTCCAGCCAAGGGCATGTATCTCGGTTGCAAACTTGATGCCCAGCCCCGATTGGGGTGAGTGCGGGAGGCAACCAATGGATGTGTCTCTCACATTTATGTTTCTTTCTTTCTCCCTCTCTCTCCCTTCAGCAATGGAAAAAACATCCTCGGGAGAGAATTAAAAATAATAATAAGTGAGCTAAACACAAAAATACACATTATTTACATCATAGTACTGTGACAACTAAATCAGACTAACTCTACAGAGCTGAGGCATCATTAACTACATTAAGTTTCTGTGGTACTTCAGAGAAACCATCTAAGACAAGTTAAAAATCATTCTTTTAGTCCATGGAAACACCTTAGCAGCAAGACTAAGTCATTTAGTCAGTCATATACAACCTAACAAGAAGCTTATTTATTGTCCATGCAATCTCAAATTAAAATATTAAATGATTTATGAAGGCCCAGTCTTTAAGTCATAAAATTCCAAAATACCAAGATCAGTAATTATAATTAACATGCCTAAGGATAATGTCAAATTATAATTATAGTCTGACTTTCTAAGATATATTTAAAATACAATGATTAATTTATAGAAGGCCAAAAATATTATTTGCAGCATAAATATTAATTATATCTACAAACTCATCACTAAGTGCACAAAACAAGTTTACAAAAAAAACAAAAATAGATTAAATTTTGTTGTTTTTTTGCTCCTACCAAAAACAGTGGTGTTTGTGCAGTTAGCAAGTGTAATAGAAATACAGAAAAAATCCCAATATACAAATTTTGCGAAGAAAATACAATCCCAGATACCTCAATGTCCAAGGACACTTAAAGAAATACTTATGATAATCTCAAACGTCTACAAAGTAAAATGTGGAAACATTCAGTCTTAGGAAATAATCACGTGAAAGTTTGACATTTTAGTTTGATATTCTCACTTCATCTTGATATTCTCAATATACCTTAGAAAGCCAGAATATAATTATAATTATAATTTGACATTATCCTTAGGCATGTTTGATCTGTAAACATATGATTCTTACAAAGGGCTGTTGCTTCAACATTTGAACCTATGAAGCAGGTTTTGGAAGGGCTTCTTATAAGCACCCTACTGTGTTCCCTGATAGAGCATAAATACCAAATAAAACTTTTTAAAATTAAAGTGAAACTCATAAATGATAGGGTAGAGTCTTGGGGCTGTGGAGCAAGGGAGTCATCCAAAACTGATGGTCCTCATTGCTAGGTTTTTCCCTCAGTGGGAACTGAGGCAGAAGGAAGAGGGACATAGGACTGATTCTATAACTTATTAGAAGGGGAAAATATCAAAAATGAAATTCCCTGGATATTTTGACAAAAGAAAGTTGGTGTGAAATTTTACAGTATTATTATAATTCAACTATATTACAAGTTAAACAGGTTTTTGTGAGCTGGTTTAGGGATCACAGCTCCATATAATATTTTCCTTTAGGAAATATATTTCAAATGATGAATCACTCACTTAGAAATGAACCTCTGGAATACAATCCATTTACGAAATAAAGACCTTCCCTAAGCTAGTTTATACTGTAGCCTTTTTCTGTATCACCAAAATGGAAAATTCAAATTCAAGAGGAGAAACCTGTCTTTCCTCATCCCCAGTATCTATATAACTCAATGAACTGCTCTAATTATTTTTTAAATGTCTCCTTGTTTCTTGCACAATAAATATGCAATATAAACTCCAATATACTTGTTTGATGCTGGCTCTACTCAATTTTTTTAATACAAGAAATAGTCTTCTTTTTTACACTATTTTATTCATAAAAGTTCTTGCAGCTTCTCTTCTTGCAAAGATAAAAAAAGTTCCAAGTGATCAAAATTAAATACAGTAATGTTCTTTGTCTTGAGGCACTACAAATTAGAGCAACAATCTTAAAAGAAAGGTCTTTAAATCTAGACCACTTTAGACACTGAAATGCTTTCATACAGTGGTGCCTTGGTTTTCCAATGTCTCCGTTGACGAACATTTCGGCTCATAAGCGCTGAAAACCTGAAAGGAAATGCTTCAGTTTTCGAACACGCCTTGGAAGTTGAACATACCACGCGGCTTCCGCTGAGGGCAAGGTCCTAAGGCCCAGCTGTCGCTGTTGATCCCTTGGTTTTCCAATGTTTCAGAACTCGAACGGGCTTCGGAACAGATTACATTCAAAAACCGAGGGACCACTGTATTTCTTTTCCTTTTAGCATTCAAGTGATTTTAGCCCTGGCTGGTGTGGCTCAGTTGGTTGGGCATCATCCCGTCCACCAAAAGGTTGCTGGTTCTCTTCCCAGTCAGGGCACATGCCCAGCTTGTGGGCTCGATCCCCTGTAGCGGGCATGAGGGAGGCAGCAGATCAATGTTTCTCTCTCTCCCTCTCCCTTCCTCTCTGTTCTTAAAAATCAATAAAAATATATATGTATTTTTAAAGTGATTTCAATCAAACTTCTTTTAAAAAAAAAAAGTAAAAAATTTTCAGTCTCATGTACACAGAACACATTTTTTCAGATCTTTAACTTCAAAAATAGCTTTTCTTTGGTCTTGGCATGATTTTCCTTCCTCAGAAGGCCTTTAACCTACCCAAGTCTTTAGTTCATAATTCCAGCCATTTCTGTATTACCAAAGTGAAAAGTTCATGTCCTCTAATAGGGGAAAATCTATTTTTTCCTCTACCTTCAATATCTATAAAACCTAATAATAGGTGAAAAACAAGGTTATCTTACTTTTTCATTCCCAAATGGAAAAGCTTTCATGACAACTTTTGGTGTTTGGTACACAATTAAGAATGGTAAGAAAGATTTAATAAGAGAAAGTCTCTTTACAGACAACAGTATGGTGGTTCCTAGAGGGGAAGGGGGGATGAGGGGCAGACGAAGAGAGTGAAGGGGGTCAAATAGAAGGGAGACTAGGCTTCGGGTGGTGAGCACACTTGCAGTATATAGATGATTTATTACAGAACTATACACTTGAACCTTACATAATGTTATTAACCAATATTACCCCCAATAAATTTAATTTTTAAAAAAGAGGAAGCTGCCTCTTCACTCCGACTATACAATTATTTTGAATCTGAACCTTATTTTATAAGAAATCTGCTGAAATAGCAAAATTCCAAGGGCAAAAGGAATTTTATGTTACAAAATGTTATGTTATTCCCTTAATACATATTATACCATAAAAATACAATAATACTATTGTCTTTAGTTTTATCTTTGCCTATTTAAAAGTGTCTAGAACATACTACAGATTGTTAATGTGGAGATGGGCAGAGGGAATGGAAATAATTAGAAAACAAAGTAGAACTTTATGTTACTTTAAGTCACTATAATTAATATAAATTTCAGATAATTTTGAAGGACAACAGAAGACTATGTTTACAGAAAAGAAAAAAAAAGAAGAAAAGAAAAGAAAAGAAAAGAAAAGAAAAGAAAAGAAAAGAAAAGAAAAGAAAAGAAAAGAAAAGAGATTTAAAAACTTGAGTTTAACATAATGGTAAGACATGGTTCAATGTATCATTTTAGATCAAAATCAATATAATCAAATTAATGATAGGGAATAAAAGAATGAGTTTACCCTGATGTTTCCTAAAGAGTGTCCTGTGTAGACACTACATGAAAACAATAGCTCCATGGTAAATTAGGTTTAGGAAACATTGGGTTAAACATAGCTAAAACAAATTGTATTACTTTAAGGACTTCTCAGAAACTTTAATAGGCTAATGTGCATCATTTTATCTACAAATATACTCGTTTCCCCAACTTACATGACCAAGGAATTCTTTTTTTAGGAGCATCTATTTAAACGCGTGGTTTGGCAACATAAACTTGGCAATATTGGCTTATAAGTTCAGCTGCTGTATTCTTTGCTGAAGAAAACTTTTGCTATAGCCATGTATACATTTATAAAATAACCTGAGTACTCTGGATGTATCACAAATTGAAAAGTACTATATGAAACTCAAACATTACCTGAATTGAACCAAAATATATAAAGCAGACTACATTTTAAAATACATTAAACATTCAGATAATTTTTTTATTAAGATTTATATACCTGACTACGGTGTTCAATAGAATTTGATTCTTTGCCGGTTTTAAGTTCCAGTGGCATTACTTTATATTTCGCTTTACATCCTCGATGAATTTTCACACCAACTGTAACATCTATTTTGCCCTTTAATCCAAATCTAGGGGACCAAATGCTTTCTTCAATATCCAGTGATTTCACGACTTCAATATTGCATGCTGTGTTGTTACTACCATCACTTGGCCTAAAAAACAAAACAAAACACAAAAACTCTTCATCAGAACACTTAGCTCACTTCTCATCTGCTACCATTGACTTTCCTTTGCACACAGAAAATGTGGGGATGGGACAGTCTGTATACCTTTATAGCAGTGATTCTCAAAGTGTGTAGCGCCAGCATCATCTGGGAACTTGTGATAAATGCAAATTCTCAAGCCCCCCTCTACACCTACTCAAAAAGAAACATTAACTGGTAAGGCCCAGCAATTTGTTTAACAAATTCTGCAAGCGACTCTGATGCAAACTCGAGTTTGAGAACCACTGTTCTATAGGCTATAGCTCATGTAATATAAATTTTCTTAATATTTATTATCTGTCTCAGTTCATTCCTATCACAATCTTCCTAACTCGGGCCTTTACTTCCTCAGGCCTAAATTACTACGAAAGCCTCACTGCTTGAACTGCTGGAGCCACAATACCAATCTGAATAATCAGATACACATTTATTACACAGATTAATATATAATTGCCTTCATGTGGTTGCACCCTAGGGAGCACCATATTAACCTGGGTAAGAATGAGCTGTCTTTCCCCCTTATGTATGCAGTGTGAAGCTTGATCATCTAACACTTCATCCCTACACCTTTGTGACAATCCTGGGAGAGATGAAAATAACTTCTAAAGCCTTTTACACTTCTCTTAACTAAGATTTACTCATTTTCAGAGCAGTAAGTCATTCTGCAAAAGAAAATTCAGATAAGAGCTAACTTTTATTAATCCTATTTTAGACTCGAAGCCATATAAAGTACAAAGTCTAACAGAAATCTTACATGAAAAGAATAAATTTTCTAATAATAAAGCATTTTGTATCATATAAAAATCAAGATTTATAAAGTTTAAGTCCTGGTTGCTGTGGCTCAGTTGGTTGGGCATGCTCCTATGCACCAAAAGGTTGCCAGTTCAATTCCCGGACAGGGCACATGTCCAGGTTGCAGGCTCAATCCCAAGTAGGGGGCATGCAGGAGGTGGCCAATCAATGTTTTGCTCTCACAGCAGTGTTTTTCTCTCTCCCTCTCCCTCTCCTTCTCTCTAATAAATAAATAAATAAAATAAAATAAAATAAAATAAAGTATAAGAATTCTGGCTGGGCCCTGGCTGGCGTGGCTCAGTCAGTTGAGCATCGTCCTATGCACCAAGAGGTTGCCGGTTCAATTCCAGGTTAGAGCACATGCACAGGCTGTGCAGGAAGCAGCCAATTGATGATTCCTTCTCATCGATGTTTCTCTCTCTCTCCATCTTCCTTCCTCTCTCTCTCTAAAGTCAATAAAAACATATTTAAAAGAAAAAATTCTGGCTTTTACAACACATTATTGAGTTGACATGGTTTTCATGTTGTTTAAATCAGAGTTATTTCTTAACAAATAAGAATATTTTCTAAGAAAAAGAATGTTATCTTCAGTAATTTTTTTAAAAAACTGTTTCAGGACGCTACAAATATAATCTCCAGACATATACTTCTGCAATCTTTGAAAAGACAATAAGGAATTCAGGGAAGCCACAATTTATCTGAAATTTCTTAAATATTAATGTTTTCTCTCACCAAATGTTATCTGATCATATGTATTCAAATATGCTTGTGCAAAATAAAGCAAACTTTATTAATGTTGCTACTAAAATCCAGTACCTTAGAAAAAGAAGTAATGTCATTTTAGACCTAGTTCTGTGGCACAAATAGTCAATTTAACTAATATTTCAATTTAACTAATACGATTTTAACTAACACAATGCTGTGAAACTCCTTTGAGAACCACTTGATGGAGAATATAGTGTCATGAAAATGAAGAAAATAAACATTGACTACTTATGGGTGAGAAAGGTTGTCTCTATAAATGGCTTTTAAAGGCCTCATTCTGTGTTTTGCAATCTAAAGTTACTTTTCAGCAAAGACCAGCTATATTTCTGCTGGGGAAATGTCCAGAAGAGTGTGTCCTTCACAGAGAAACACACCTAGGCTTCCATTGGAAATAACCGAAACAAAGAAAAGTCTTACATGGACAGACAGAGATGAGGACACTGGGCTGGGAATCAAGAGATCCTTATTCTAGACTCATCTCCACCAGTGGTTTTTCATATAAAACCTGGAAAAGTCATACCACTCCCTGGACCTTAATTTCCGTATTTGAAATCTAGAACTTAGTCTTAAAATTCCCTTTCAAGTCAAAGATGACTATGAATCCCACACTTTCTTTGGCTTCTATGATGCACTTCTTCCATGCTACAAGCCCTTGTAGGTTCATCCTAAGCCTCCTTTGATGGATGCTACTCGATGGATGCTACTCTCTCCCTGTATTGTTAAACACTGTTTATCTCCCAGGGTTCTGGGCCTCTTCTGTTGCCCTTTGTGTTCTCTCTCAGCATTCTCCTCCACTCTATGTTTTCAACTACTACCAATACACTGAGTACAGGGAGAGCTTTAGTCTCCCTGTAACACCAATATCTAGGACAATCCTGGGTAGATATGAGGCATATAATACATGTTCACTGAATACATCAGTCTATGAGAAAATGAGTTTTTACTGCAAAAACAATAAATAAATACTAGTAAGAAAAATACACACAGCCCTGCCGGGCATAGCTCAGTGATTAAGCACTGACCTAGGATCCAGGAGATCATGGTTTGATTTCCTGTCAAGGCACATGTCTGGATTTCAGACCTGATCCCCAGTCAGGGGCGTGCAGGAGGCAGCCAATCAATGACTCTCTCATCATTGATGTTTCTCTCCCTCTCCCTCTCCCTTCCTTTCTCTGAAATTAATAAAGATTTTTTTTTTTAAATAGCAGATGTTAAAAAATCATTAAAAAAAGAAAAATACATACAAAAAGCTAAAGCAATTGGCAGTGAAAGAAAAGCCAGTATCTAAAATAACCATGAAAATGAACATCCACTAAAATTTAAAATCTCGAGCAAATTTAAATAACTCCAAAAGAAATAAGGAAAAAGAGAAAGGGAGGGAGGGAAAGAAGGTAAATAAGGATAAGGAAATAATTAGGAACAATGAGAAACAAAATTAAGTTTATCATTTTAGTAAAGACCAAAATAACAGAAATACTACAAAACAAAGCAAAGAACCAGGAAAAAACTGCCAACTTCATGAACACTTCACAGTTTATCACAGAGAACACTAATGCAGCAACGAGATCCACCCCTATCCCAGACACAGCAATCTGCGCTCCAAAAAAGAACAAAGAACAAAGCATTAGGAATTCATAAAATATGGTACAAGAGAAATTAAACAACCTATTTACCTTGTGGTTATTGGTTTTTTTGTTTGTTTTTTAAAATATATCTTTGATTTCAGAGAGAGGAAGGGGGGGGGAGAGAGAAAGAGAAACAACAATGAGAGAGTCATCATTGATGGGCTGCCTCCTGCACGCCCCCGCCTGGGGATCGAGCTGCAACCCGGGGCATGTGCCCTGACCGGGAATCGAACCCTGAATTCCTGGATCCTAGGTCGATGCTCAACCTCTGAGCCACGCGCAGCTGGGCATGATTGTTGTTTTTTTAAGTTAGGGAGCTGGTGGTAAATCTAAGGCCACTACAGAAATAAAGAATATGAGAAATAAACTCAATTCTAACAGCAAGATGTCTTTTTTTTAACCACTATTTTTAAAATATATATCAAAGTCCTACTGGCAAACTGATTTGGTGACAGCTGCACAATTCTATGAATATAATGAAAGTTACTGAATTGTTGTTAATAATAAGTACAAATAATTAAAACCCTACTGGCAGATACAAGACATTTAAACATTGCTAGCAACCTTCTAAAATTGTCAAAGAATTCCAGTAATATGTAAAAGGTTGTAAAATTCCCAAATATCTTTGATGAGGTAGAACCTCCAGTTCTGAGGTTTTAACACAAGGACATAACTGTCCCCATAAGGTCCACCCTTCTACTTGCATTCCTTCTTCTCTACTCAAGGACAAAGCTCCAAGAATTTTCCCATCTCTTCCAAGTATTAATTTTGTGCTCTCCATGGAAATCTTCCCCTCGGCATGTAAACATGTTCTATCTCCCATCCTCAAAACAACAAAGCTCTCTTACCCTCACAAAAGTGTATGGCAGCCATTCCATTTCCATCTACCCTTTCATAGGAAAACCATTCAATGTAGTTGTCTACACTCCCGTCTCCAAATCCTCTTCCAGCATTCTCCCTTGACCCCATTACCATCACATTTTCACCCCAGAATCACTGCTGACTTTTCTTTCCCTCATGCCCACATCCAATTCAAAAATCTATCAGCTCTAACCTTTAAAATCTGCCCAAAATCCAACTGTTCTTGTCACTTCTGAAACTCTCACTCTCGTCTAAGCACCACCATCCCTTGCTTGGATTCTTGCAAGAACCTCCAAATTGATCTACCTCTGCCTTTATCCTACAACATACCCTCAAAAGGACAGCCAGATTGATTCTTTTAAAAGTAAATCAAATCAATGCAGAAGTTAGCACAGAAAAGTTAAGGAACTGGCCTAAAGTTACATAACTAAATTGTGGCAAAACTGGGATTCACATTCAGGATCAGTATGTCCTTCAAGGTACAGAAAACTTTAGCGAACAAACTGATCCGAAGAACTGACTGTTCCCAAAATTTCTGATTCACAAATCTTAAAACAAGTTATTTAGATCACAAAATGTCATAAAATATTGAGAATACTGAGATACGGTTAAGAATATTGATATAAGTGAAAATTGTGCCTATTTAAAAAAAAAAAAATGTTGCCCATTTAAAAAAAAAGTTATCAGATCAAAACCTTCTGTGCAAATCCTCCAATGGCTTCCCATCTAATAAGAGCCAAAGTCCCAACAGGGCTTGACGACCCTGAAGAAATACTTCTGCCCTCTCTCCCATTCACTCTGCTCTAGCCACACTGGCAGGTGTGAGTCAGCCACAGGGTGTTTGTCTTCCTGGAGACAGCTGCAAAGCTCTTTCATTTCTTTCAGGCTTTGGCTCATTACCCACACCTTCCAGGACCACAACAGGGAAATAACATGTCCCAGTGACTCCTTTCCTCCTCACCCACCCCACTGTTCTATACTGCCTACACCACAGTCAGGCACACTGAGGTTTCCTTGTTCAGCAGTATAGAAGCTCCATGAAGCCACTGGCTTTGTTTTCTTGCTACTGTAATCCCAGCACCTAAAACATTACTTGGCACATATTAGGCACTCAATAAATATCTGCTGAATGGGTGAATAATGAAAAAGAAAAAAAAGTATTACCTATAAATTTATATCAATGCTACTTTAAGGAGAAAAAAGTAAAAAACCAAATGCCAAAAAACATTAAATGGCTAAACACAATATTTAACTGTATAGCACAAATCCACGACAACTGACACATGACACAGTCCATCTGATAGGAACACATATATGAAAGTAGGACCACCCAATGTATTTACTAATTGATTAATTTGTTTAAAAAAACAACTACAGCCCAGCCAGGCATGGCTCAGTGGTTAAGCATTGACCTAGGATCCAGGAGATTGAGGTTCAGTTCCTGGTCAGGGTACATGCCCAGGTTCTATGCCCAGTCAGGGGCGTGCAGGAAGCAGCCGATCAATGATGAATCTCTCATCTTTGATGTTTCTATCTCTCTCTCTCCCTCTTCCTTCCTCTCTCTGAAATCAATAAAGATATATTTTTTAAAATAATAACAAATAACTACATACAAAAATTAGAATATTTTGTTATAATGAAAATAGAATTTTCTATTCATTAGATTATTTTTTTGTCCTGGAAAGATACTCAGGACAGTAATTTATAAAATAAGCAAACTAAAAGGCTGGTTGTAATAACTCAGTCTTTAAAAGGCTTTAATTCAAAATACAAAACAGAATCCTGGTCTAAACATATGAACCATATAAACAAAATGGGTTTCTTACAAAGAGAGCTGCATCTGCGGGAAGTCTGTTGAAGTGTATTTATGCATGAAATCTTCAGCCCATTTAGAAAACGAAGGAAGATACTCTTCTACTTCTTGTTTTACTTCATCTTCATTCAAATTTAAGCGGTACCTGTAAAGTAAGAGATTAAATATAAAAGCATAAATATGAAAACAGTAAAAAAGGACCAAAACATCCAAATAAGCAACCCAAGTACCTACAGGCTAACTAACAGATACACAAAATGTGGTCTATGCGTACAAAGGATTATTATTCCACTTTAAAAAGGGAGAGAGCAGGCCCTGCCCTATCGGTCCTCTGAAGGAGCTGGTTCAGCAGGGAAGACAAAATTAGCAGCCCAGCTCTGCCAAGATTGGTCCTCCTGAGCACAACAGCAACCTCAAGTTGAGAGATAAGTTGAAATTCCTCAAGCCAGGGAGCAACTGCTGACACCAAAGTGTTCCAAACGACCCCACATTCAGTCTAACAGGGGCAAAGGTTTGAAACCTGGCAACTTCCAGTCAATAACGGAGGATGTAGGGGAAGATGTGGGAAAACAAGGACTCAGGTACTGCTGGACAAATGTAAACTGAGGCAACACTTACACAGAGCAATTTGGCAACATATCAAAATTCAAAATGTACCCGGATCCTGTCCTGGAGGGGGCAAGACGCTATAAAGGACATTAGTGGGCAAAACTGAAATGTGGGCAGACCGGACAAAAGTATTCTATCAATGTTAAATTTCCTGAAGTTGATAACTATTCTGCGGTTACATATAAGAAAATCCTTATTCTTAGGAAATACACACTTAAGCATATACCACGGTTTTTTATCTAGGGATATGAGCCCTGGGCCCACCTGGCTCAGCGTCAGCAAGAATGTGTCATGAGCAAAGTCCTTAGCCAGCCACAGGCTGCCACACCAGGCACTGAGGCCCCACACCCAGCTGTCACCACATGCCCAGCCCCAATCACCAGAGTGGTCTGAGGAGAAGAGGCCTGAAGAAAGTGTGAGCAAGGCCAGCTTTACCCACTGCAATAGGGACCCCGGAGTCCACAGGGCAACCCAGGTTGTCCAGAGCCCTGCTCATCCTGCTCTATGGCTGGTGTCTTCATGGTTTACAGCCCATCATGTATTTCATGATGAATTCTACTTAATCTTAGAAAAAGAACACCACACACACACACACACACACACACACACACACACACGCATGCACAACAGGTGAATATGAGTAAAGAGTATATGGATGTTTTCTGTATTACTTTTGCAACTTTTCTCTAAATTTAAAATTATTTCCAAATAAAAATATTTTTAGATGTTTAAATGCATATATCCTCTAGCTGAACAATTCCACTTCGAATTACTGAGCCCACACGTATGCCTGCACAGGTATGAAATAAAGGATGGACAAAGATATTAATTATAACATTGCTAATAAAAGCAAAGATTGAAATGCCACAGGGATGCTTAAATAAACGACATATCCATATAATGATACATTATGCCACAATTAAAAATGAGAAAGCTCAATAAGTACTGAGGTGGAATGATCACCAAGATTTAATTTTAATTATACTTTATCTTTTATTGATTTTTAGAGAGGGGGAAGTGAGAGAGAAAGAGAAACACCGATGTGAGAGCGGAACGTTGATTGGCTGTCTCCGGCACACCCCCCACCAGGGGATCAAGCCACAACCTGGGCATGTGCCCTGACAGGTAACTGAACCGGCAACCTCTTGGTGCATGGCACTACGCTCAACCAACTGAGCCACCCCGACCAAGGCGTCACAATGTTTCTAAAGATAAGGCAAAAAGTTTTGCACACTCTCTGAGTCTGGTGTGCACATGCACAGAAAATTTAAATATTTTTAGCCAAAAGAGTTCCTGTTGTGGAATTTTAGAAGCTCTTCACAGAACTGCAATGGGGTACTGCAACTTTGGAATCTGCATTCCAGTATTACACTATATTGAATAATCTAACAGCCAAATACCTTATAGATTCTAGGAAAAGTTATGTAATAAAATTGTCCCTATAGATCTCTCATAACTACTTACATTTCCTTCAGATGCCTTATCTCTTGAACAGTTTGAAAAGCAAGTTCTTGTAGCTTTTCTGGGGCAAAGTTATCATTTATTGCTTTCTGAAATACTTCGTGGAGAACTGTACCAATCAGCATTTGGTGTGTGGTTGGATCAGAGCTCTATTAAAAAAAAATACAAAAATTTTATTTCACAACATATTAACAGGCATGAATGTATACTTATTACCTAACCCATTAAACCACCATAGCAAAAGTGCATTAGTAGGAAAAATGCCAAAATATCAACCAATGCTTTTTTCTGGTGGGTGGAATTACAAGTGACTTTCAGAATGATCTGAATTATTTTACAAGTACGAGGTTTTTAAAAATCATTATACTTCCATTTAAAAAAATTTAACCAATATAAAAAAGTTCAACATATTCTCAAATATTTAATATATTCATTTCCAATTTTTTATAATTTACCCAAATAGAAAAGTTAATAAAGGCATAGCTCACAAACTCATGCAAGTAAAAGTTATTATTGAAACATAAAATTTAAACTTACAGCAGAGATTTCTAGCAAGAAAACTTCACTGAAAAAGAAACTGTTTTTCAATTAACTCTTTTGTTAACCTAGGCCTCTACCTTGAAACTATCAAAAAACTAGATAAAGTCCACCAAACCATCCATCAGGAATTTTTTAAACTTACAGAGGAACAATTTGTACCATTTTTGCAAATCCTATGTGAGTCTGAAATTATTTCAAAATTAAGAGATTAATATTTAGGTCCACTTTATAATACGTGGTTAAAAGAGAAGTTGATCTTCCCCCACAACTGAAGAAAAAAGTGGATAAAATAAACTACAAGTAAGTAACAACTAACACTATTAGAACATCTATATAAGCCTGGCCAGGCGTGGCTCAGTGGTTGAGCATCGACCTAGGATCAAGAGGCCACGGTTTGATTCCTGGTCAGGGCACATGCTCAGGTTGCCAGCTCAGTCCCCAGTCGAGGGCATGCAGGAGGCAGCCGGTTAATGATGACTCTCTCATCATTGATGTTTCTACCTCTCTCTCTCCCTCTTCCTTCCTCTCTCTGAGATCAATAAAGATATATTTTAAAAAAGAGAGAGAGAGAACATCTATATAAATATTTTTCCTGCTTTTTTCCTTCTTGTCCAAGTGGAATTTTGGTTTTCTACATACATATAGATTAACTGTATAAGTAAAACAATGCTCTGGGAGGAGGAGGAGATTTTTAATAAAACTCAGGTTCTTTGACAGAAACAAGTAGAAGGTACAGGAACAAGGAGAAAGCAGAACTAATATGGATCAAAAGAAACTTAACAAACCTATCAATAAACTTAATACAAAGACCTTGTTTGAATACTGATTGTAACAAACCAACTGAATAGAAAGATAAGTTTGATACAAGACATGAGAGATCAACTGAGCATTAGATTAATATAAGAAATTACTGTTAATTTCATTATATATGATAAAAATATTGCATTTATACATTTTTAAAAATATCAGCTTTCATTTACTTGCAAAATGATGTAATGTCTGGGAAAGCAGAATGGGTACATGGGGGTTTATTATAATCATCTCCATGTATATTTGAAGTTTTCCATAATAACTTTTAAAAAATTTTTATTGACTGATTTTAGAGAGAGAGGAGAAAGAAACATCAATTTGCTATTCCACTTATTTATGCATTCATTGGTTGATTCTTGTATGTGCCTGACCAGGAATCTAACTGGCAACCTTGGCGTATGGGGACGATGCTCTAGCCAACTAAGTACCTGGCCAGGGCTGAAATTTTTCATAATAACTTTTTTAAAAGAGACTGTCACATTTATTTTTAGTTTATTGGGAATCACATGAAGCAAAGTTTGGAAATGTCTACATGTATTAAATTTAAAATCTTATCACTGAATTAATTTCTTCATCATTAGAATTACTTTATGGTGTTGAGCAAGATTCAAAGGATTCAGGCACCTCACCTTGAGTCCCAGCACTGACATTTACTAGCTACGTGACTTTGGGCAAGTCACTTAAACTGTCTGAGCCTGATTTATCTCACCTGTAAAATGCAGCTGATTAATACCATCTACTCACAGGATTATTAGAAGGATTAAGTAAAATAAAAGTGTAAAAGTGCTCTACAAACTATAAAATCCTGTAGAAACTTTAGCAGTTAATATTATTCACCCTGAAAGTTTCACTCAGAACAGCTCTTCTCATGCATCGAATACTACTGGCTATGCTTGTGCCAGAAATCAGCATGTCTGGATACAGAATCAAATATCCGAAATCTTCATCTATTATCCAAGTATCAGATGTGCAGTCTCCCTCCAAATGAATGATGTCCCCTGGCTCTACTGGTACAGAGCACCTACAAATAAAGCAAAGTATCAAGATACAGTTTAGCTTCCTATATTTAAGCTTACTAAGGAGTCTTCAAAAATAAATATTTTGTCTGAAGAAATAGTATTTCCAAATTTCTGGATCTTAGATCTTTTTAAATACCAGGACATAGTCTTCTGAATCAACTCCTAGTCACTCCATCCCTTTCCACCTTGGAAACACATCTGAGAATACTCTTGGGTTTTCCTTAAATCCCAAAAACGAAAACCGCTTTAAGCGTCGTCTAAAGCTATCAGATCTTTAATAGTGTAATATAGAGCTCCAATTATGGATGATGTTGTTTTAATAATTAATTTTCTCATTCTTAAGACTTACAGAGTATGTACATCTTATATTAAGTCTTGAATCATGGAGCCAGAACCAATGCAGCAAGAATAAAATCATATTTATCTAGTTGAAACCATCCAACTTGCAGCATAAACAAAAAATCTAGACAAAATTAGACCTGACCTTCTCTGCATCTCCCTTCCACCCCTCACATACCACAGTGTTTGAGTAAAGAATATAAGGTCAAAGAATGTTCTTATGCTATAATTAATTTTGCGCTTAATAAGAACATGAGTTTTAAGCTGTAATCTTAAAACAGAACGTACTGGGAAACAGGACGTAGCATTAATAAGTCCCTTTGTAATTTCAAATGACAGTACAAATCAAGTTTTGGAATAAGGGACTTAACATGCTGGGGTAACAGGCGCAGTTTTATGCGGAATTAGTTCAGGTTGAAAACTATTCCCTTGCCCGGCCGGGCATGGCTCAGCGGTTGAGCATCGGCCTAGGATCCAGGAGATCAGGGTTCGATTCCCGGTCAGGGCACATGCCCGGGTTGCGGGCTCAATCAATGACTCTCTCATCATTGATGTTTCTATCTCTCTCCCTCTCCCTCTCCCTTCCTCTCTCTGAAATCAATAAAGATATATTAAAAAAAAAAAAAACAACTATTCCCTTTATTAATAATTATAGTGACACCCACACAAGCCCATGTGATGAGTTTAAAGGTGGTACCCTTAAGAATCTGCCACATCAGGGCTCAAAGTCATATAAAAATTACCAGTCATTCCTAAGGATGCAAAATTCTTTATATTCTAGCGACTGGGAAGCAGTGATGATTAGATGCTTTTCATGGCTTCCTTCTTCATTATGCACGATATTGACTGCTAATACCAGGTACCGGTTATCCGTTCCTCGGGTCAGGACTGTTTTAGAAGAGGAAGCTTCCACCTTCTTCTGAAATCTAAAGCATATACATACTGTAGCACAAGCATAAAATAAGAAGCCATCAATCTCCATCTACAAACCAACCTTCTAGTTTTTAGGTTTGTCTCTTCTGGAAAGCTTACCACAATGACCGTTAGCTAAAATGGTTAAAATTAAGAGAGCAAAGACATAGCAGAATTCCTACTATAAGAACTTCCCAGAAGCTATGTCACTTAAAAAAAATAAAACATGCTTATGATACGGATTTTTCCAAATATAAGCTCCATGATTATGAAGGTTAAGGAGAAACTGAAAAACACTAAACAACACATTCCTACCACTGGTGCAAACCTTCTCAAAGTACAAATAAACGGGAATATTTTGGACTATCCTTTTTGTAAATAAAATAGATGTTTGTTATAGAAAAACATACTGTGGGTGGTTCGCTGCAAGTCCTACTGTGAGCCACAGGATTATATTAATCTTTAAATTAGAAGTATACTTAGAGATCACCTCATCCCATCTACTATTTAATGCAGGAATTCCTTTATGAAATCTCACTGGGGATCAACCAGCCCCTGCATTGTACAGAAAGCAAACTTAACACATTAGCTCTTTCCTTTATAGAGTAACTCAGAATTTTCTTCTATAATGGGCAAGTCAATGTCACAATACTTCTATACAATGATCCTCGCAGCCTGAAAAATATGCAAAATAACCTCTTCTCTAGAAAACATCAAGTTCCTCCTAAGCCTTTCCTGTTTGACTGCAGTAAGACTCCAACAGAGTCCAAAGTCACTCTCCAATTTTAACACCAAATGCCTTTCATATTACTCTAAAATTATCTTTGTCACTACCCAAGGTCCTATTATTTTGGAACCTCCACATTCACCTACCCCACGAATTCCCCAGGCAGCTGGGACACCTTAAGGATCCCCCAAAAGGTTCTGCTGCTCAAAACCTCAAAGATCCGTCAACAATAATCAGCATCAGTGTTACTGCTCTAGAAAATAACGCCACACCATGATTGTGGGGCAAGTTTCCCCGACCATTTAAACCGAGATGAGGGTGCAGAGGTCTCTCTGGAGTAAGTTCTCCAACTAAACATCGAGAAAAGCATCTCTCAGCAGCGACGTTCTTTCATGAAGACATTTGAGGTGGCGGCTGGGACTCTCCAAATTCGGGGAAGACGGGAAATAATAAACTGCTGGGCAAGGGACAGTCTCCGGGCTCTGGTCCGAGAGTGGCCCCAAACAGGACCCTGCGAAGCAGACCCCCGCTCCGGAGGCGCGCCCGGCGCCGGGCCTGAGCCGGGCTCGGTCCCAGCTCCAGTCCGCCGCGGCGCGTCCGGCCTCTCCCGCTACTTTCGTTCAAATCTCCCGCGTCGCTCCCAGACCCTCCCCCCGCTCCGCTCACCGCTCCGCGGGCCGCTCGCCCTCCTCCCCGAAAGTCTTCTCCATGAGGAGCTCCAGATCCCCCAGCTGCTCCATCCCGGGTGTGGGGACCGCAAACTGTCGCCGGGTAAAACCGGGGACCCCGCGGCAGCACTGAAGAGACAAAGGGCAGCGGATTCCTGAGGCGCCGCGCGCATGCGCCGACTCGCCGAGCTCCCCAGCGACCTGCGCGCGCTGAGCCTCCGGCGCCCGGCGCGTTCCACGTGGAGCGCAGCACCTGGCCTCCGGCCCCTGGGGGCGCCTCTGCTCTCTCGCCTCGGGTTTCGGAAAACAGGCCCGAAGTATGCGCTGCCGCCCTCGGTGGAGACGCGTCGTCACATTCCCAGCACACGCTCTGCGTTTGAACAGAACATCTGCCGTTGCCCAAATCCAGGAGCACCTTGTTAGCCTTCAGAATTTTGCATTCTCTGGAAAACAACCTCTCTTCCCCTTTTTTTTGGTTTTATCCTGGAAAAGTAATTGAGAAAATAGAAGCTTTCTCATCATGTTACAAATTAATTTACAAAACCACCTGTCTTATAGCCTCTTTCCACTTTTTTAAAATATATCTTTTATTGATTTCAGAGAGAGGAAAGGAGAGAGAGAGAGAGAGAGAAACATCAATGATGAGAGTCATTGATCGGCTGCCTCCTGCACGCCCCCTACTGGAGATTGAGCCCCCAACCCGGGCATGTGCCCTGACCGGGAATAGAACCGGATCTCCTGGATCCTAGGTCGACACTCAACCGCTGAGCCCCGCCCTGCCGGGCTCCCCTTTTTTTGAACAGTGGACAAAGCGCTCCTCCTGTCAGCGGTCGCCCCTCTACCTGACTCGATTCAAAGGCCTCCGGTATTCCCGAGGGCATGGCTCTTCAGTTATTCCCTCATTCTCTTGTACCGTCCATCTGTCCCTCACTATTGGATTGCTTCCCGGCTTGTTATGTGGCCCAAAGGATGGGGCTAGAAACCCAGAGAGTATCCTTGATTGCTTTCTGTTATTACTCACATCCAATCCATAGGCAGACCCATAGATTTTGTAGCTAAAACTATGTTAAATCTCTCCAGGCCTTTCCATCTTCAGTGTCACTGCCTGATGATGATCTCTCACCTGGACAACTGCAGTAGACTCTTACATATGCTTCCCATTCTTATTTCCTTGCAATTCAGTCTTTTTTCCCAATACTTTATCATGAAAATTTTCAAATGTACAGAAAGCTAAAAGAATTATATAATCAAAACATATATACACCTATCACATAGCTTTTACATATCGTATCTTTGATTAATCACATCTATTTATCCATCCCTCTATTCATCCATGAATTCAATTTTTTTTTTAATGCATTTCAAAATAGTAGGCATCAGCACATTATACCCATAAAAACTTGGTATGTATATCATTAGCTAGAGTTCAATATTTGTTCATGGTAATTTAATATTTTTAATGTATTTTATATGTAAATTTTACTTGAAATGCACAAATCTTTTTTTTTTTAATATGTTTTTATTGATTTCAGAGAGAGGAAGGGAAAGGGAGAGGAAGAGGGAGAGAGAGAGATAGAAACATCAATGATGAGAGAGGCATTGATCGGCTGCCTGCTGGGGATCTGGCCTGCAGCCAGGGCATGTGCCCTGACAGGGAATCGAACCTCAGTCTCCTAGATCATAGGTTGCTGCTCAATTGCTGAGCCATGCCGGCCGGGCAAAATGCACAAATCTTATGTGTATCATTTGATAAATTTTAACAAATGTGTTTAACACAAATCCCTACTAAGATAATGTTATCATCGCCCCCCAAAATTCTCTCATGTCCCTTCCCAGGCAATTCCCACATCCATCCCTACTGGAGAAGTAACCACTAATCGGATATATTTTTAGCAGAGATTAGATTTGTCTGTTCTAGACTTTCATATAAGTGGAATCATTTGGTACATACTCTTTTGTGTCTGGCTTCTTTCATTCAATACAATGTTTTTGAGATTCATCCATTTCATTACATGAATCAGAAGTTTATTCCTTTTTATAGCTGGATGGTAGTCTACTTGACCCATCTTTTCCTTTGATGTACACTTGAACTACTTACAGTATTTTGCTATCTTGAATAAAGCTACTACAAATAGTCTTGTACATGACTTTTTGTGCTCTTATTTCTCTTAGGTAAATATTTTGGAGTGACATTCCTGAGCCACAGGTGGGTTTATGTTTAGGTTTATAAGAAACAGCCAGACCTTTATCCAAAGGGTTGTAACCTTTTGCACTACCACCAACAGTGGCATTCCAGTTTCTGCATATCCTTGACAACGTCTGATGCTGTCAGTCTTTTTAGTCTTAATTTGCATTTCCCCATCACTAATGTTATTGAGTACTTTATCACATATGTACTCAGTCATTTCAACATCTTCTTTTGTAAAATGTCTGTTCAAATCCTTTGTTCATTTTCTTAAATTGCATTGTTTTATATAATTCTGGATATAAGACCTTTGTCAAACAGGTTTTGCAAGTATTTTTTCCCAGTTTGTGGTTTACCTATTCATCTTCCTAATGAGATCTTTAGGTGTACAAAAGTTTGAGTCTTTATGAAATCTAATTTATTCATTTTTTTCTTCTATGGTTTTTGCTTTTTGTGATCTAAGAAATCTTTTCCAACCCCTAAGTAATGAAGATATGCTCATATGTTTTCTTCTTGAACTTTTATTGTTTTATTTTGATTTAGGTCTATGATCCACCTCAAATTAATTTTCGTGTATAATAGGAAGTAGAAATGAGTTCTCCCTCCTCTCCCTCCATGTGTATATCCAGTTTTTCTAGTAGCACTTGTTGAAAAGACTTCCCCATTGAATTGCTTGGGCACCTTTGTAAAATAAATAAATAAATAAATAAATAAATATGAACTGATCCTATAAATATCAGTCTGTTTCTGGACTCTCTGTTCTGTTCTTTTGATGTTTGTCGATCCTTAAGCTAGTGCCATACTGTCCTGATTACTACAGCTTTAGTAAGGTAGTGATTACTACAGTCATAGTCAAATAGTGATGTCTTTGTTCTTTTTAAAGTTTGCTTTGGAAATTCTAGGTCCTTTGCCTTTCTATGTAAATTTTAGATTTAGGTTGTAAATTTATACAAAAGAGCCTGCTGGAATTATCATTGAGATTGCATTGGATCTATACATTTGGGAGAACTGATTGCTTTACAATATAGAGACTTCTAATTTATAAATAGTTTATCTAGTTTATCTTTCCATTTATATAGATCTTCTTTAATGTCTTTAAGCAACATTTTGTAATTCTTAGTGTGTTAATTGTACACATTTTTGTTAAATTTAAGTATATTTATATTTTCTGATGCTACAATGAAATTGTTTTATTTTCCAATTGTTTCCTCTAGCACATAAAAATATAATTTTTATATTTACCTTATATCCTGAGGCCTTGCTAAATTCACTTATAATTTCCTGTAGTTATTCTATAGATTCATTACAACTTTCTACGTAAATGATCATGTCATCTGTGAATAGAGGCAGTTAGTTTTACATCTCCCTGTCTGATCTTCCTGCTTTTTATGTCACTTTCTTACCAAAGTTCCCTGGTTAAATAGAAATTGTGACAATGGGCATCCTTGCCGTCTACCTGATCTTAGTGGAAAGCATTCAGTACTTTACCATTAAATATGAGGCTGGCTATAGGTTTTTCATGGATACCTAATAGGTTTATCTAATGCTATGTATAAAACAAAAACAAACCTCCAGAATGTAGTGGCTTAAAACAACAACAATCCTTTTTTAGCTAATGAATTTTCAGTTTGGGCAGGGCCCCATGGGGAAGGGAAACTTGTCTCTGTTTCACTAAGCATCAGCTGGGAGCTGAAGGATCCACTTTGAAGATGGCTTACTTAGAGAGCTGGAAGATGACTCTGGCTGTCAGTTCCTCTACTGGGGCTGGCTGGCTTCTTCACAGCATGGTGGCTAGATTCCAAAAGACCAGATGGAAGATTGTTCAAAGTTATGACATAACCTCAGAAGTAACATAGCATCACTTCCACTGTAGTCACAGGCCCACTCAGCTAGATTTAAGGAGAGGGAACACAGTCGCTATCTCTTGATGGGGTGTCACTGACACACAAGAAGAGCATGTGAGATAAGATGTATAATAGAAAAATATAATCTGACAAAATGCTCTTTATTAGATTGAGGAAGGTCTCTTCTATTCTAATGTAATTAGTTTTTACAATGAATCAATGTTGGATTTTTCCAAGTGCTTTTCTGCATTTATTGAAGGATCATGGTTTTTCTCCTTTATTCTATTACGGAAAATTACACACTTGAGTTGATTGTTAAACAAGTTGGCATTTGTAGGATAAACCCAATTTGGTAATGATGTAATACACTTTTTTATATACTGCTAGATTTGAGTTGCTAAAATGTTGTTAAAGATTTTTCCATCTTT